ATGATTTGGATGTAGATAGAGGAGGTATGGTTAGTAAGTTTGCAGACGACAGCAAAATTGGAGTGTAGTGGACAACTAAGGGGGTTACCTCGGAGTTCAACGGATCTCGATCAGATGGGCCAGTGGTCCGAGGAGTGGCAGATAAAGTTTAATTTAGATAATTTGAGGTACTGCATTTTGGAAAGGCAAATCAGGGCAGGACTTATCCACTTAATGGTAAGGTCCTGGGGAGTGTTGCTGAACAAAGAGACCTTGGAGTGCTGGTTCATATTTCCTTGAAAGTGGAGTCGCAGGCTGACAGGACGGTGAGGGAGGCATTTGGTATGCTTGCCTTTATTGGTCATTGCATTGAGTAAACAAGTTGGGAGGTCATGTTGCAGCTGTGTAGGGCATTGGTTTGGCTACTTTTGGATTATTGCGTGCATTTCTGGTCTCCCTGCTATAGGGAGGATGTTGTGAAACTAGAAAGGGTTCAGAAAAGATTTATGAGGATGTTGCCAGGGTTGGAGGGTTTGAGCTATAGGGAGAGGCTGAATAGACTTGTGCTATTTTGTCTGGAGCGTAGGAGGCTGAGGAGTGACCTTAGAGGTTTATAAAATCATGAGGGTTGTGGATAGGTTAATAGCCAAGGTCTTTTTTCCTGTGGTGGTGGAGTCCAAAACCAGGAGGCATAGGTCTAAGGTTGGAGGAGAAAGATTCATTTTCAAGCAGAGAGTGGTGCATGAATGGAATGAACTGCCAGAGGAAGCGGGTGGAGGCTGATAGGATTACTACTTTTAAAAGGCATCTGGATGGGTATATGAATAGGAAGGGTTTAGAGGGATACGGGCCAAATGCTGGCAAATGGAACTAGATTTATATGGGATATCTGGTCAGCTTGGACAAAAGGGTCTCCTTCCGTGGTGTATATCTCTGACTCAGGCCCTGTTGATGAGTCCTATTAAGGCCAAACTTATATTACATAGTCTGAGGGCTGTTGTGATAGTGACTCTACCTGAGTCAAAAGGCCTAGGGTCAGGTCCCACCTGCAGAGATGCTGACAACATCTGAACGGGTTCATTATAAATTAGCTACTGAGTATGGACCTGTAAGAATCCCAATACATATATTGACCAGTGTAAGTGGGCTTGCAGTGGAGAATTATAGAGAACTCATTAAGGGATTCCTCATTTAGTACATCAAGTTTAAAAAAAAAGTTTGCCAGGCTGTTCCAATTCAAAAGTGAAATAGTAGGATGGAGCTTAAGGTTTGCAAAGAAATCTTAACGTGCAGCTGCAGATTCTAATATTGTAAGTGAATCAACTGCATACAGAAACATGCAGGATTGGGAGATGAGTCTTCAACTACCCAAGAGAGTTATTCTTGGATTTTTCTGTCAAACGTTTTCTGAATAACTGTTGAGATTGGTATATTTGGAACTGTTCAAAGTCTCTGACCTCTACCCCAGAGTTGGTAACTTGTGACTTTTTAGGAGGGTCCTGTGGAGTCGGAAAATTGCCCCTTGGAAGTTCAAACTTACTGGACAGTTCCCACCGAGACAGTGCATCATTACTTCCAGGGACCCCAACTATCTGGAGACCAGAAGATTAATGAATGTCAGTGAACTGGAAACTTATTTAAAAACTGAAAGAATTGCGGATGCTGTAAATCAGGAACAAAAGCAAAGTTGCTTTGGAAAAGCTCAGTAGGTCTGGCAGCACCTGTGAAGGAAACAACAGAGTTAATGTTTCAGGTCTGGTGACCCTTCCTCAGAACTGTGTGTGTGGAAACTTATTTAATTTTGTGAAATTGGTTATAGTGCTTTGAATCATGGTAAAGAAAATGTTAAAAAATTACACCAGTAACTGTTGAAATGACTAACTGCTAACTCATAAACTTGTGAAGTTGTTCATTTTGGCAGGAAGAATAAAATACAGATTATTACTTAAATGGAGAATGACTGTGGAATTCTGAGGTGTAGAGGGGGTTTTGGTGGTCCAGTGTGCAAGTCACAAAAATAATGCAGGAATAGCACAGAATCAAGCATAGAAGCTGGGATCAGGAGTAGGCAATTCAACCCATTGGGCCTGAAGACTAATGGAATCAAGAAGACTAATGGAATGCTATTCTTTCTTACAAGAAGACGTGAACATAAAAGCAAGGATGTAATGCTTCAAGTGTACAGAGCATTGGTGAGACTCCGTCTCTAATACCATGTTTGGTTTTGGTCTCTTCATACCAGGAAGGATGTAAATATGTTGGAGACAGTTCAGAGGTTTGAAAGATTGATATCTGGAGTGAGAACGTTGCTTTACGAGGATAGGTTGAACAGGGTGTTGTTGTTTCTACTGGCATTTTGAAGAATGAGAGTTGACTTAATTGAGTATAAAATTCTGAATGGCCTTGATAAGATGGAAATGGACAGGATCTTCGCTCTTGTGGGTCAGTCCAGACCCAAGAGGGCACTGCTTAAAAATTGGGGATCATTTAGAATGTTTTTCTGAGCTTTACAGCTTTGTAATTCTGCCTCAGAAGGCAAGGGAGGCAGGGTCTTTGCTTTTAAGACAAAAGTAGGTAGATTCTCGTTAGGTAACAACAGGCTGTCAGAGATAGGTGGGAATTTGGAATTTGAAATGCAAGCAGATCAATCATGATCTTACTGACTGGCAGAGCAGCCCCAAGGAGGACGCTATTTCATATGTTCGTGTTATTGTTAGCTTTCAAGTTTATTCTTTAGAATGGGAACAGTTGGACTTTGATTTCCCAGACTTTGCAAATACTTGAAAATAATTCGCAATAACGGTGTCTGCAAATGCAGTCACACATTGTGCATTTAACATTGTCACCAGAAAAAGTTTCTTTTAAAAGAAAGATTCCCAGCTTTAAAGAAAACTGCGCTTTTTGCATGAACATGAGATTCTTGTGATTAGACTAAATGTCAAGCCCTGTGACATGACTCTGTGAGCTCTAAGTGACAATAGTAATTGTAGTAGCGTTAGTCAAGCAAATTAACAATTACCATTGACCTATTATTAACAGTTTTGATGGCAGAGTGGCGCATAAAAAATTATGATGTGACGTATAATTTCCTGAGACTTCTGCACCATAAAAAGTGCTTCCAACTTAGATGTACCATGATTAATATACGAACGTTACTATAACATTTAATGTTACTATAATTCTCTAGGAAATTCTAGGTCCAGGTGTCTATCATATCCTGTGTAAATACTTGGAATGCGTGTATGAATAGATAGTTATTGAAGTCATATAATTCGAGGTTATGCTTGCCCTAACTATCCTTTAATAGGGTGTCTGTTCTAAAATAACTGTCACAAAAAAAATTGGATTGACATAACACAATGTGGAGCAGGACGAACACAGCAGGCCAGGCAGCATCAGAGGAGCAGGAAAGCTGACATTTCAGGTTGGGACCCTTCAGATTTCTTCAGTTTGCAATTTCTGCAATTTGATGGGATCATGGCTTTAATTCCATTGCTTCCCTGCCCTCCCCATAACTCGTGACTCTCAGAATCTATGTAACTCAGCTTTGAACATATTCAATTTGCAAGCCTCCATTCCCTTCTCCACAGAAGCGAATTCCAAAGTGAAACCAACTTCTGAGACTGAGAGGAGAAATTTCTCCTCATTCCTGTATTACATCAGAGATCTGTTTTATTTTTAAACTAAGTTCTGTAGTCCTGCATTCCCTCATGAGAGGAAGCACTCTTCTTCATTCACTGTGTAGTGCACCTTTTGTCTTGCATGTTTCAATAGGTTGTATATTTCATTCTCCTCAGCTGTGAATGTAGGTCCAATCTGGTTAGCTTTCCTTCATAAGATAACCCTTTCACACTAGCAATCAACCTAGTTAGTGCACCTTCTGATTTACTTCCAGTGCAAGTAGAAGAATATAATTTACCTTAATATGTACAACATTTTATCTGATGTGATGGTTCTTTTGACCAGTCTGTGTCCTGCACTCTGCTACTGCCCTGTTTCACTAATTATAGCATGTCCAGTAAACAAGATAGTAATAGACTACCTTCGAAATCTTGATTAAATGAAAAGGAATCATTTTAGCTTTCATTTGAATAAAAACTTCTTTTGTCTAAAAATTATCTTACTAAGGGATTGTTTTGAAGTCAGTAGTTTGACTGGTAATGTATAGGTATCAAATTTAAAACATCAAAGTATTATTTAAAATGGTTTATAGGCTTGCATTATTTTTCATTCATGTATATTACAGTTTGCCCACTCCTAATTGACTAGTTTCTTGGCTGAAGAATGGGAGAATGTCCAGGTCCTATTCCTATCCATTTTAATCAAATTTTTTATTTGATTTATAGGTTACTCTCTTTGTCCTGAATATTCCAATTCTTGTGGTTTACTTTGCACCAGTGATAATGACGACCAATAATTTACCAAGAAAAATGCTTACTCTTTTTGATATTAAATCATTGGCATTTTGCAGCAGCCTGGTGCTTTGTGACATTTCTTCTGTTGAATATTGAAAACCTTTTATTCATAAAACAATGTGGTGAATTTTACTATTGAGTTACCATATCTAGTGCTGTCCTTATATATACCAGTTGCACATGAGTCTTGATGGAAAAAAGATCTGAACTATACATTTTAAATAAATTCCCAACTACATCCCATCCTAAAGGATGTGTGATTTTAACTTACGTTTAATTTCACAATGTTATTAGTAATTAAATAAAACAAATACATTGTTTTTTGTGCTAGTTCAGTGTTCTTTATATTACCAGGACCAGCAGCATAAATCAACCAGTTATTTTCCTGTGCGCAACATTTTGAATGCAAATTGCCTCTCATTTGTCTGCATGAATAACATAAATAATCCATTGGTGCAATGTTTCATTTGTAACTTCAAGCAGTTGTGATATAGCTTAATTTCCACCTACCAGTGCTTATGTTTACTTCATAAAGCAATTACTGTGTTCTAGTGGTTTGAGATGTTTTTGTTAATTCCAATAATCTTTGTTAATTTTGCAGGTATTGGAATGGATACATGTGTTATTCCCTTAAGACATGGTGGACTTTCTCTAGTTCAAACAACAGATTATTTTTATCCCATTGTTGATGATCCTTACATGATGGTGAGAAATTTTTAATATATTGTACATAATGAGTCACACTAATTAGACAAAATACAAGCATTTACTATCCAAGTCTACTGATTCACTGTTTTATGCACATGATAGAAAATTTGGTATGTCAAAAAGTATTGAAATTTAAAACCCATCTGCATATTTTGTTCTTCTACTTTAATCTCTGATTATTACTATGTTGATGGTTCTGTGAACTATGAATACATTTTATATTTTAAAAGCAATATTTATAACCTGTGTTCCTTGTAATCAAATGTATCAAGTTTAACTGCAACTGTCAAGTACTCTGTATTTTATGTAACAAGTCATTTTATCTGTGACAGCTCAACATGTTGTTTTGGTCATCTGTTTGAGTTTTGACCTTCATTTGGTGATTAAGGCTTACATACAATTAGAACATCTGCTGTACATTAGTTGGTCTCTTGAAGGTTGATTTATTTTCCACCCCCAGCCCCCTGAAAAAAAAATTCTTGCCTAATTTGGTGAATTCTGAAGAGTTGCTTAAACTGATGTATCTTGTATTCTGGGACAAATCCCTATCTATGCTTTCACAAGTATATTATAGATCAATTATGTATTACTGTTGCTTCCATTTTTGACATGGGCAACGTTTCTCGACTTTCTACTTTGTCAGAACGGAAGCAGTAAGGGTATAACTAGAGGAACATAATTTTTTTTAGTGTTTTTATTATGTGAAGTTAATTGTAAGAATTTTATTTTAGGAGCTAAAAATCTCTACTGTCCTCAAAAATCCAATCTGATAACAGTGCCACGGGAGATCCATTAGATTTTATTTTAGTCAGAGGATGTGGCCACCACTTCATAGCCAACAGCAATTACCCATCCCTAATTGCCTTTGAGAAAGTGTGGTGGGAAGCCACCACTTTGAATTGTATCAGGCCTTGTAGTGAATGTACCCCCACCAAAGTGCCTTTAGCTAGGCAGTTCAAGCATTTTGACCCAACCACAACAACTGGCAATTATTTAAATCAAGATGGTGTGTGACCTGGGGGTGCTGCTGTTTGTCCTTGTAGTGGTAGAAGTCACAGTTTTGATAGGTGCTGTAGAAGGAACCACTATGACCATTGAAGTGCATTTTATAGGTGCTAAGCACTTCAGACATTCAATAGTTCTTCTTGATGAAAGAAGCGAATATTTAAGGTGATGGATGGGTATCATCAAACAAACTGCTTTTTTTCCTGAATGTTGTTGAACTGAGTATCTGTAAGATGGATTTATTCATTAAAACCAACGTTTTATGATAAATACCGGTCTAAGTTTGACCAAAAAATTTTGCAGTACCCTTGGCCTAATTTACCTTTTAAGAATCAAAAATTTGTTTGAATTCCTACGTTAAAGATACGTTGGCTAAAATAATATAGGTTAACAAATATGTTAATTAAGGAATGTGACAATATTGTTAGCCACCTACAGTTTTCTTAAAATTAATTTTAAGATACTGATGAAGTAAGTTTGATGATAATATTTGGACTTTCTGGTGTAAAATTTCACTAAGCGCAAAATTATATTATTGTGACTCGGAATGTGTTGCCAGTGGCTGAAAACTTTTGAGTTATTTGTAAAAAAAATTTTAAAACACTGGGGTCAAGTGAAACCATTTGATTTTGTTCATCTTTTATGATTTTATTGGGCTGTATTTACATTAAAATAAATTATCGATTGACTCAATACATTATTAACTCCAGAGGAAGTTCCCAAAAGTCTTCACTCAGATTTGACTCTAATATGTGATCATACGATTTTTATTCTTTCTCATAACTGACACTTCTGACTTTGAAATTATTGTCTAAAGTTCTTTTTTCCACTGTTTTCCAGTACAGTGTCTTTTTACAACTGACAAAACTGGGCACACAATTTGATTTTACCTGGGACAACAGTGTGTGGCATTGCCACAATGACACCACACGCAAACTGGAGGAGCAACACCTTGTATTCCGCCTCAGGACCCTACAGCCTGATAGCCTAAACATGGAATTCACCAGTTTTAAAATCTCCCCACCCCTGGCCTTATCCCATGCCCAACCCTCCCTCTCAACCTCGCCTCCTTGACCTGACACAACCTGCCCATCTTCTCTCCCACCTGTTGGACCCACCCCTCCCACTGACCTATCCCCACCACTCCCTACTTGTGCTCACCTATCACCATCCCACCCACCTTCCCCAGCCCCACCCCTCCTCTCTCTGTTTATTTCCCAGCTCCCATTCCCCTCCCCATTTCTGAAGAAGGGTACTGATCCGAAATGTCAACTTTCCTGTTCCTGTGATGCTGCCTGACCTTCTGTGTTCCTTCAGCTCCATACTGTGTTATCTCTGACTCTAGGATCTGCAGTTCTTGCTATCTCTGATTTTACCTGGGCTTTTTTGCTTTGCTTATATACTTCAGCATTCTACTGGCTTTGGGATCGTTGTGTTGGTTGAATATAGAACATAGAACAGTACAGCACAGTACAGGCCTTTCGGCCCACAATGTTGTGCCGAACTTTTACCCTAAACCTAAGGTCTATCTAACCTCCACCCCTACCTTATATTATCATCCATATGCCTATCTAATAGCCGCTTAAATCCCCTAATGAGGCCGACTCCACTACCCTCTCCGGCAATGCATTCCACGCCCCTACCACACTCTGAGTAAAGAACCTACCTCTGACGTCTCCCCTATATCTACCGCCACTCACTTTAAAACTATGCTCCCTCGTAATAGCTACCTCCACCCTAGGAAAAAGTCTCTGGCTGTTCACTCTGTCTATACCTCTGATCATTTTGTACACCTCTATCAAGTCACCTCTCATCCTTCGTCATTCTAAAGAGAAAAACCCTAGCGCGCTCAACCTTTCCTCGTAAGACCTTCCCTCCATTCCAGGCAACACCCTGGTAAATCTCCTCTGCACCTTTTCCAACGCTTCCACATCTTTCCTGTAATGACGCAACCGGAACTGGACACAATACTCCAGATGTGGCCGAACCAGGCTTTTGTATAGCTGGAGCATAACTTCACGGCCCTTGAACTCGATCCCTCTATTAATGAAAGCTAAAGCACCATACGCCTTCTTAACAACTTTATCCACCTCGGTGGCAGCTTTCAGGGAACTGTGGACACGAACTCCAAGATCCCTCTGCTCTTCCACACTGCCAAAAATCTTTCCGTTATTCCGCTTTCAAGTTTGTCCTTCCAAAATGAATCACTTCACACTTTTCAGGGTTAAAGTCCATCTGCCACTTCTCAGCCCAGCTCTGCATCCTATCAATGTCCCTTTTGTAACCTAGAACAGCCCTCCACACTATCCACAACTCGACCCACCTTTGTATCGTCCGAGACCTTACTAATCCACCCTTCCACTCCTATATCCAAGTCATTTACAAAAATCAGAAATAGAAGAGGACCCAGAACAGATCCTTGTGGTACACCACTCGTAACTGAGCACCATGTCGAATATTTTCTGTCTACTATCCCCCTTTGTCTTCTAAGGGTCAGCCAATTCTGAATCCAATCTGCCACATTTCCCCCTATCCCATGCCTCCTTACTTTCTGCATGAGCCTACCATGGGGAACTTTATCAAACGTGTTACTTAAATCCATGTATGCCACATCCACTGCTCTACCTTCATCCACGTGTTTGGTCACCTCGTCAAAGAATTCAATAAGGTTTGTGAGGCATGATCTACCCTTCACAAATCCATGCTGACTATCATGAATCAAACTGTGCCTATCCAAATGATCATAAATCCTATCTCTCCGAGCCCTTTCCAATAATTTGCCCACCACTGAAGTAAGACTAACTGGCCTGTAATTTCCAGAGTTATCCCTATTCCCTTTTTTGAACAAGGGAATGACGTTTGCCACTCTCCAATCTTCCGGCACTATACCCATGGACAGTGAGGACGAAAAGATCATCGCCAAAGGCCCTGCAATCTCTTCCTTCGCTTCCTATAGAATCCTTGGATAAATCCCATCAGGCCCGGGGGATTTATCTGTCTTCAAGTTCCTCAAAATTCCTCGTACATCTTCCTTACTAACGTTCACCTCCTCTAGCCTACCAGCCTGTTTCACACTGTCCTCCCCTACAACTAGGTCCCTCTCAGTTGTGAATACTGAAGAAAATTATTCATTGAGGACCTCTCCTATCTCTTTAGGCTGCGTGCACAAATTCCCTTTACAATCCTTGATCGACCCTACCCTTACTCTGGTCATTCTCTTATTTCTCACGTACGTGTAAAAAGCCTTGGAGTTTTCCTTGATCCTATCTGCCAAGGTTTTCTCGTGCCCCCTTATAGCTCTCCTAAGCCCTTTCTTCAGCTCTTTCCTGGCTAACTTGTATCCCGCTAGAGCCTTTTCCGATCCTTGTTTCCTAAACCTTACATAAGCATCCTATAATATGTATTCTGAAGCTCCCAGATTTCTTTTCAATTTAGCTATTTCAGCAAAGTTCATGGTGTATTTGTCTCACTTTTCTATTTTGTACAGTGCTTTGCACTTGTCACGAACATTTTTCAGTTTGCTATTTCGGAGCTCCTTAAATTCTGTGCCCCCTCTAGTTTAGTAGCTTTTGAAAAATGCATGCAGGTTTGATCTCCTAATTTGAATCCAGCATTGTAATTTTGAAGCACAGATCCACAGTCACCTCCCCTGACTCTGACATCTTTCTTTTAAGAAATACCTATTGGCCTGCTGTTTCTGTCAGCATTGCTAATGTTTATCCTAGGTCCCACAAGCTTGGAACTTAATCAGTAGGTTTTCATGTAGAACTTTATTAAATATGTCTGCGAAATCCAGGCGCACTGTGGTAAGGCTTTCCATAGTTCTGTTGTTTTAGAGTAATTTAGAAAATGATCAGGCAGAATCTTTGAACGGAATCTGACAGGGAATTGGATGATGTGGTCAATGGCGAGAAATCTGGGAGAATTGTGTGAGAAGTCCATTTAGATATTCCTCATTTTTGGGAGCAACTAGCTGCATTTTCCATCAAAGTTCTGGACATCGAGATAAGGTTCCCTCTAGGCAGCAGTGAGATGCCTTTACAGGGAAAGTACAGCTTATCAGCCTCATTAATGATACATCTTGCCTCATTAACATGAGGCTTCCTATCCTTCCACCATCCACAAGGGAATTGGATGCTGAAAATTCCCAATATTAAAGTCAAAGTGGGTAAGAATCTCTACAGCATGGACAGAGGCCATTTTGGTTCATTGAATCCACATTGATACTCTGAAGAGCATTCCACCCAGACCCAGCCCTGCCACCCCATCCCCCATAACCCACATTTGCTGTGGCTATTCAACCTAACCTGCACATCCCTGGTCACTACAGGGCAATTTAGCATAGCCAATCCACCAAACCTGCACATCTTTGAATTGTGGAAGGAAATCAGAGCATCTGGAGGAAACCCATGCAGACATGGGTAGAACATGCAAACTCCACACAGATATTCACCCAAGGTTGGAATTGTACTCGGGTCCCTGGCATTGTGGGGCAGCAGCACTAACCACTGATCCACCATGCTGCCCTGGCAACTCCAGCATTCTTCTCCAGACCATCAATTTGGACATCCAATAGTACCATTTCTGAGCACACTTCAGGGCATTGACCTGATCATAGTTTGCAGCAGTCCTCCATCAAGTCGAGGGAGATAGCCTTCAGTCAGGGGTCCCAGCACAGTATTTCAAGGGCAGACTCCAATATCAGTCCAGGTGCTTGTGCATTGTCAGTTGGCCACCTGGGCAATCAGGTTCCTTCCTTCATAGGAGATGAAGGGCCAAATGTCGGACAGCCCACCACATACACATCTTGCCTTTTCTGCTTTATCATGCACTGTTTTCTCCTGGAATGAGAGCGAGGAAAGGATTGAGTGAGGTGAAAGTGGGTGGCACAGCTGTTAATGCTGGTGGGGGAAACTGGTGAAGCCCTTTGTATGACTGAATAGTCAATACAGAAGCTATTCAGGGTTAGGAAGGTGAAGTGTTGGCAGTGAGGGAAAATGCTTTTCAGCTACAGCAAATGGTAAAATCAAGCTAGTATCGGACGTTAGGCATGCCTAGGGCAGGATGGAACGCTGAAGAGCCGGGTTTCAGGCAATTATGTGAGGAAACTCGCTGAATCGCGCAGACAGCCTCCATGAAACATGACTAAATTGGCACAGCCTAAAATGTAAGATTCAGCCCTTTGCGTCAGAATAGATTCAGAATCATAATCTTTCAATAAATTGTAATGACCAGTTGTTTTACCTAAAAATGAAGACCAGTTGACCTGTATTAGCTCATGCCTTTCATTATGGGTATCTTGTTAGCAAACTATGCAACTAACCTTTTATGAGAAGAGCTCATTTCCTCCTTGCATGGCTGATTGTCTCACAGATTTTATAGTCATCTGATTTCCCCCTTATAATGGATTAATGTGCATGAAAATCATCTCGTGACTTATTTCTCCTGAATCCAGTACAATTATATTAATACCGGCATGCATGTAAAATATGTTTCTAAAATTGCACAACTTGTTGTAACTGAAAAAAACTTAACTTGTAATGAATGCTGAAATTATTTAATAAATGACAAAAATATTGATCTGTGGTGGTTAATACTGCTCCTGCTCTTCACTTCTTGCTGCTCAGAAGTTAGATTGGGCTTATCCCTCAGTAAAGTTACAATGTGATGGACACTATCAGAAGTCTGGAAACAGAGTTGGAGGTATAATGCAGACCACCTTCTGAAGTTCTGTGATAGCAAAAACATTGCTTGAGTACAAATTTTCTTCTTGTAGGCATTATTCAGCATCAGTACTCTGGTGCCTGGCAGAACTTGTGAACCATATCAGCAAGTAGCCAACCTTTGACCTGATTGGTTGAAGTAGAGATGAAAGAAGCTGATGCCAGGGGCATGAAACATGTTTGCTATAATACTTACGCTTGCAAACAAAATGCACATTTATGGAGTGTTGTCTTTATTGAGAGAGATGGCGAGAACACGATATCGTGGCTCAGTGGCACTTTGGACCCTAGGGAAATTTATAGTGCAGGCTGAAACTACCATTTAGCCAAAACGAACCATTCTTTTGCACCATGCTGTGACTTGTGTGTTTCTTTTGTGTGAAGAGCCGCAATCACTTTCCTACTATACACTGTGCAGTAACCTGCAAGATATTGTCTGCAGCAGCCTGGAATGACCGCATGGTTTAAAAGTTATGAACCATTATGACCTTAGCACCTACAGGCAGTGCTATTCATGCCCTGTTTTGTGACTTTACTGGCATTTTACAGTGCAGTTGTGGTTTGAGAATTGCTATCTGAACACCACCTGTGAATGTAGTCTCCTCTGTAGTATTGTCTCCTCATTCTGTGTAATAGAACACCATTAACTTAAAGCAAGTTAGTAAATTTATATTTACATGAATTTTATTTGGGATCCACAATCTCTAGACTTTGCTAGAATTTATAACTTTTGATCTGTAATCTCCAGATAAAGTATCTGTTTGTGTATTGGGGTTTTCCTTTTGAAGAATCACTTTGATTTCATATTATTTATCGTCTGTGTTCTGACCTTTGTTTTCACTCCTCCCTTCAATTTTAACAGGGTCGTATTGCTTGTGCCAATGTTCTAAGTGATCTTTATGCCATGGGTGTCACAGAATGTGACAATATGTTGATGCTGCTTGGAGTCAGCAATAAAATGACAGATAAGGTAAGCTAGAGTATTACCAAGGGCATCTAAATAATGCTAGTAGTATATTGAAGTTTCCAGAGTTTAATCTTTCTTTAAAGATAATGATCAATTAACCAATGTAATAGTAGAAATGAAAAGAAAAAGAACTACAGGTGGTAAGTTGTGAACAAAAGCACTAGGAGTACACGGCATCTGTGAAGCAAACACGTGAGCAGCATTTCATATTCATACACTTAGAGTCATTGAGTCATACAGCATGGAAACAGCCCCTTCAGTCCAACCAGTCCATGCCAGCCATAATCCCAAATTAAACTAGTCCCACTTACCTGCGCTTGGTCCATATCTCTCTCAACATTTCTTATTCGTGTACTTATCCAGATGTCTTAAATAGTGTAACTTGTACCCACGTTCATCACTTCCTTTCTGTGCAAAAAGTTGCCCCTCGTGTCTTTTTTTTAAATCTTCCTCCTCTCACCTCAGAAATATGCCCCATAGTCTTGAAATCCCCACCCTATGGAAAAGACACTTGCCATTCACCACTTCTTTCTTTTTAGCTTTAAAGAAAGATATGAGTCCAAGATAGCAATTGCTAACTGTGAGCGATTGATAATTCTTGCTTCTTTTAATCAGTGTTTTGCTGGGTACAGTTAGAATGGTCTTCTCAGGTTCCAGAACAACATAACATTTATCTTAGAATGCAGATGAGACCAGAATTACTGTCTTCAGGCTGCAACTGTCAATTCACAATACATGCGTATTTTGACATTAGTGCTGTGCTGGTGAGTATTTTATATGTAACTGAGAAGTAAAGACTGCTGGCTAAGTTGGTAAAGCAGTTTAGTGATTTTTCTTTTTAAATAAAACTTTCAAAATATATAATTGTACAGTTTTTGTCCATAATCATTTCTAGAAGAATATAGAACTTTGTGATTGTCTGGTGTTCTAGGTTTCTAGGGTTAATTTATGGTTGTATGACCGCATAATGAGCAGAGGTGGGTTCTTCTCAATGAGAGCGAATCTGTGGCGGCCACTCTTGTACATATGTATCTGAATACATGTTCCAGGGTAAATTTGCCAGAAGTGTTGAAACAGTCCATCCTCACTCTCAGCCAGAACCTGAATATCTAGACCAAGGTGTAATGCTTTTACAAAGAAAAACAACCACATGAACCCTACCCTATAAAACTGTACACTGTCAATACTTAGAAGGAAATTTTTTATCACTCTACAAAGAGTGCATTGCAGGCCTCAAGTCAGTTCTGGCATGGAAGTTTATATTGATAAGTATATCTCATATTAAGATTTTACCATTGATTTGTGTGTTTGCAGCCTTGGGGAGTTATTAGTTTTATCTGTTAATAGTTTATCTTTCCCTGTGGTCCCCTGCTGGTATCTGTCTAGCAAGTATTCCAGACGAATGCAGTTGCTAATTGCAGAGAGTATGGACTGCATCTACGTGCATTTCTGTATTATCTGGATTGTGGTAAGTCAGCATGAAAGCAATAATAATTTGAATGTAGATTACCGAATGTCAATAGTGTAAGCCATGCTCATGCTGACTTTGTTACCCTTTTTACGCCAGGTTTGAGCCCAGTTCAAATCTCTTCTGACCACAAATGAAAAGGCTGCTATCTGAATTGGATTTGGGCAATTTGAAGCTAGGTTTTAATTGTTAGATGCAGACCAATGTTGGTACTTTGCAGTCACAATCAGCAAACTCATTTAGAGACCATGTGGGTGCCTCAAGTGAAATGTGAAACAATTCAATTTGATCAGTTGGAGTGTTGAACCACTTGTATGCCTATCCCTGGGCCCTTGTAAATTAAATATAAATGTATACGTCAGTGTTCCTTTTGGGTTGTTTTCTTAAACTTGGATATTTACCATTTTTTCTGAAGAAGGGTCTAGGCCCGAAACGTCAGCCTTCCTGCTCCTCTGATGCTGCTTGGCCTGCTGTGTTCATCCAGCTCTACACCTTGTTATCTTTATTTACCGATCAAGGTGTTCTGACTCTGGATTGACCAGTCAGCAACTTAATGCTGCAAATAACAGCCTTTTTCAAATCCTTGGATTTGTGGAATCAAGTAGAATAACATAATGTATAAGAAATAGATCTAAGTTATCTCAGTCAAATAGATTGGGTTATCAGGAACCAGTGCCTTCATATTGGCTCCTGCCAGGCCAAGCATTAGATCTGCTTTTGAGAGGTTGGGGCTATTTTGTATGATTGGGTAATTGGCAGGAGGTCTGCATTTAACCCAGCCATATATCAGTCTCTAATGACTTAATAAACAAGAAATAGAAAACAGTTTTGATTAGACCTCTTTAAAACAATTGCTAATTATAGATAATTGATATTGGCCTTTTGTATGTTCCTTGCAACCCAAGCAGTTTAAAACAAAAGTGGAGTGGTTCGGTATGCAACATAAAATTTATATCCTGACTTGTATAACAGGTTATTAAAAAATGTTTAACAGCTGAAACTGGCTTTTAAAGGTAATTTTAAAGTCTAATTGTGTTTTACATACAGGAGCGGGACAAAGTAATGCCACTAATAATACAGGGTTTTAAAGATGCAGCAGATGAGGCAGGTACATCAGTAACTGGTGGACAAACGGTATTAAACCCATGGATCATTTTAGGAGGTGTGGCCACAACAGTCTGCCAACCGAATGAGTTCATCATGTAAGTTTAATCTTTGTATCTACAATTATTCTAACGGAAAAATGGTTGAGATGTTTAATGGATCAAAGGTTATGGGTATTTTTGCGTTGTTCAAGACAAATGCTTGTGTTTGTTGTTCAGGGATTTTTCATTTAAAGTTTCTAGTAAATTTCATCCCAAGTTTATGAGGGATTGACTGTAAACTGAAATGGGTTGGAACTGATAACTGTGGAGCTACAATTTAACAGTATGCACTTGCTTTCTTTTCCACTCTGTTAACAGTCTGTGCAATTCATTAAACCCAGCCAATAGTGAACTTTTCCAGTCACCTAAAGGTTACAATCCAGTTGACACAAGATGCTGGACAATATGGCACTAAAAAAAAATTGTAAGTGTCAAAATTGTCAAAATCTTGCATTATCCGCAATCAATGTTCAAGTCCTCACTAAAGAATAAAAATTAGCCCTGAAAAGGCAGGTAACAGGTTTCTCCAATGCATTGTAATAATTGGATATTACAAATGGACAAAATATCGGGTATTTCTTTCTTCCCACGGGAATTTACAGTCGTTATATTTTTTAAAAAAATGTATCTGAGGTGTTAAAATAGAAGCCCAGCTCATTCCCACACATTTTAGATAAAATATCTTCAAATACAAGTGACTACAGTTTGGTTGCACTCAATAAATAGTGTTGCTTTACATGCGCTGAAAAATGTCTCTAAACTTTTTTGTAGCAATTTTAAGTTGCAGACATAATTTGTTCAAATTCATTCATAATAAACAACATTTTATAAAGCTTAATACCTTGTTCTGTCAATGTACTAATTGTTTTTTTCTGAACTGTTTTTTGAAGCACAAATCTTTGTTGAGCTCATCTTTCAGTCATTATCTTTGAGATGGAAAGCACAGCATTTAGCATTTATGAACACACCCTTGTGTAATGCCACTCTGACATGAGTATTTTTAAGTACGACTACCCAATTTTTTTTTTTTACGGTGGGTGTTGGGCATTTTCAGTGGATCCTGAAACTTATTCATTTTTGGTAACTCAAAATATGGTATTATTCTCCAATTTAGCTTGAAACCAATAGAAGAAACTTTTATTTTGTCAAATTTGCATATTCTAAAAAATCTCATCTTGTAGGGGGGAAGCATAAATTTTTAATGTTATCCGTTAGAAGTTGTCATTTTGACAGGTTGAACATTCAAAAATTTCACAGAAGAAAGTTTTGACTTTTTGAACCTTAAAATGCATCAATCTAGAGTCGGAATTTGCTGCAAATTTATGTACTTAATGTTCCTTTTCACGCCACAAGTTGCAGTATATTTTTTACTTCAGAATTCAGTACAATATCAATGTAACCAAAATGTAATAGTTAGAAAAATGAATTTTATGTACAATGCATTTGAAAGTAGTTATATTTTCCTTAAGAAAAAAAATCATGACTCAAAGTATTGATGCAATGGAAATCTAAGTGACACTTTTAGCTGTGCTTGGTTGTATTTAAATGAATACTACGTGTAAGTAAATACTTCTGATTCACGTTTGAACCAGAAAATACTTAATTTCTAAGGTTTCCAAGTCTTCCTAAGACTCTTGTGGGAAATATCTGTAAGATCTATATATGCATTTAAGCTGTGACGGTACAATGGCTTTAAGAGATGTGTTTTGTTCTAGTTTCCTTCTATGAAGAGAGGTTGAGATAGAGGTGTAGAGCAGACTGTTCCAAGCCAATAAACAGCTTGAGAGGCCTTGGAGTTTTTTTTTAAAAGGTTGGAACAGTAGAAACAGTGTGAATGGGTGGAGTCGAGTTCCCACAGAACCAGGGTTTTAGCTTAGCTTTCAGCAGATGCTGGGATTTTGAAGCTGTCTTACATCCCTCCCTGCTACAGCAAAACACTTGAGTACTCTTTCTGCTGGAATTT